TATTGTATTTCTTATTAAAATAGACTTCTTTAGGACTTGGGCAGTTTGGTGGTGTCTTATTCTTAGTTTCTCTCAAATCTTTAGAATTTCTTCAGAAACCTTCCTTTGGCAGAGTGAAGAGAGTTTAAAAATGTTGGGCTCCAATTAAAAAGTAGTGATTCTGGCCTCTTTTTCTCATGCCACAGGAAGAACAGGTATCAAGTAGAGCTTGTCTTTTTTCCTTAGAGGTGCTTATAGGAGCAATCCTGACCCTTTACAGCAGAACAATGTAAATTCCATAGTTAAATAATTTCCTGCCCCTGAGCAAAGAGCTTCCTTGATGCCCATTCCATGTACTGGTGTGCAGCATTTCTGCCTTTGGGGAGCGTTCAGCAGAGAGAGGTCCACTCACTCCAGGATGTGCAGCAATAACCAGTCCTTTTTCCAGCTTTTAGCTCAAGCTTGAACTTTTTCAGCCCTGCCACTAGATGCTGGCCTGTTAAAGGGCTGTACTGTAGCAAGAATTGACTGGCATATGGCATTATTAAGAAACAAATGTGTGTACGGAAAAATACTGATCTCTTCTATGTAAAAGATATTGCAAAAGTCTGTTTCTTAAGGAAAGACAAAGATTGGAATGCATTATATTTAGAGGAAAAGTGTGACCAATTGTTTCACAACAGTTTTCTCAGATGATGTTAAAAGAAATCCCAAAATACTGTTATGCTTTTTTCGACTACTTGGAGTAATAAGTAGGTATTCAATTCAGAAAAAAAGGTGAGTATTTATTGTTTTTCATCCATTTTTACCTCTGAGTATCTATTATAAATACATTTCCTTACACTTTCTTCTGTTTCTCTTTTCCTTTATAACAATTACTTTGCAAATATCAGTAGGGAATTGAAGACAAAAACAGCCCCATGCTTTGCTTTCTAAAAAAATCTCTGAAAAAATTCTCTGCAAGCAAGAAAAATCTTTGATTGAGGACTTAATTAGTCCATTCCTTCAGTGAGATTAGCAGTGTGTGTTCTAAGTTCAGAAATGAATAAATGTGGGAGTTCCTTGATAGCAATAACAATATGCTAGACATGAAGTTTCTTTAGAAGGAGGTGAAAAGGGGATTTTTGTGTACAGCATTTGGAACACTTACCATATAATGTAGCAACACTTTGCATATCATATATAGGGAAGACAAAGTTCTTTATACTAAAATACACTTGGATTTTACATGTCTATGTAAGGAAAACAGGAAGCAAACCCAGAAATCTTCCTGTATTGAGGCATGTATCTCTCTCTTGAAAAAGCATGCTTATTGACTTAAGTGTAGAACAGTAGTTCACTGTTTTTCCTCTGTCCTTTGATTTCTCTACTGGAAACAGGAGATAAACACTGGGGTGTATTATTATTTGTGGTCTTTAAAATGTTATACAGGCAAGGTACTGGCTGGGATCATGGAGAATCCTCACATACACAATGCTCTAAGTGGTTCTGTTGGTTTTTTTTTGGAATGATCTCAGTAGTGGTCTGTGTGGTAAGAGCACTTGGTAAAGATCTGAACTGTGCTGTGGATTCTCTTTTGACCTTTGAGCAGCTATGGTGATATGGGCGTGTGGCTTAATTGGTTTTCCTACAGAACTGAAGTCTGGGTTTTTTTGACATAAAAATGGGTGTGAGGACTTCTTAAAAATAGTTTGTTACTTGTTCTTGCTGAGGCATCCTCATTTTTGGGTAGTGGTCAGCTTCTGCAAATGTGATAGTAGGGCCAGCCTGGTCTTCTATTTGTAAAAAATGTTTACTTGGCTTAACCTTGGCCACTGATTTAAGACTATAGACACAAGAATGCCACTTATTCCAAGTGATAAAACTGTCTAGTGTTTGCTTTCTGAATATTTTACAAAATATGGGTAATTTTTTGAAAATTTAAGGAAAACCTTTGCAAGTTACCATATAATTTAAATATCAGGAATATTATTTTGTTGTCCAAATGCTGTTTGTTGCTCTTCTGCTCTTTTGACAAGCAATTTTAGAGTTACCTTGCAAAACATGTAAACTTAATTAGTATGGACTCGTATTTGTTTCACTGCTTCTCACTTTCTTTTCCCTCAGGAGTCATCTTGCTTGATATCAGGACTACATATGTATGAGATAAGTGTCTTCCCAAATTAAAATTGACCCAGTTTGTTGGAAGCTTTTATCTGAAAATGATTTTAACTGGAAGGACTTAAATTTAAAAGCCTTGAATATCAAAGTCAACTTGTGATACCAGTTGTCATGATACTCTTGAATGCAGAATCAAACAAAATAAAAGTTAAATAAAGTACAATAGCTATGGCCTTTACAGAAAATGCAGTAACATTTTATAGATATAACCTGTACTTTTTTTTCCAAATATCTTTAAGTAGTGTATAAACAGTTAAAGAAATGGCTATCCCTGGGGGGAGAATGGCAGATTCCTGTCTGGCAGGTGTGGGAAGAATCACAAAAGGGACAGTTGACTTCTCTGATTCTATGAAAAGTCTTCAGCAGATAAATTAGGGTTATATGTGTTTTTTTGAACTTCATGTGTTTCTCTTTTGTATAGGTTACCATGTGCTTGTTCTTGTTTTTGAGGGCCTAATATACAGCACGCAAACTATTCTTTTAAGTGGTCATTTCAGAATAGATCTCCAAATAAACTTCCTTCTCAAAAGCATCACATGCTTAAAATATATATAATTTCCTGGGTTTAATAAATGTACAAAAAAAAAAGTGATGCTAGTTATATAGAAGCATTTCTCTAAGAAGTAGTGTTCTGTACTTCATCAAAGAACACTTAAAATTTAGTATGTCCCTGCTGCATTACTTAGAATTTCTGGCTGAACACTGAGGTGTTTTCATATCATAATGAAAAATTCTCAGCTAAAATAAGAAAATGTCTTTGTAGTGAGTTTTTCAGATTTAAATATTGTAGTTATGGCCATAAACTGTAAAAATAGAAAGAATAAATCTGACTCAGATCTACAAATAGTTGAGTGATTTGCTTGATGTAGGAGATGGTTACTTGGGGGCATTGGCTGTTCATAGTGTGGGAGAGAAGGAATGAGGAGGAGTGATTCACACACAAATTACCTGGTGTTTCAGTCATTTGATGTGTTTATTGCAGTGCATTTACTGTATTCTTTAGTCACTTCAGAGTTTGGAGGTGTGCGTGTAGGATTAGCAGGAGTTTTAGTACTGGATCCAGGACTTTGTGCTAACTGGATGTATAGCACATAGAGCTGTAAGGTATGTGTTGTTTGTACTGGTAATAGGGTGGTCTGAAGGGTAAAGGTGGCCAACAAACTGTGATACACACTTAAAACATCCTCTCAAGCCTGAAATCTGGCCAGAAATCTGGATTTGTACTACTTGGCATTCTACAGACATATGCCCAATATATAACTATGTGTTTTGTTGATGTTTTTTGTTTTTTCTCCGGGAATGGATTCTCAAAACTTTCAACAATGAATAGATAATACAGTAATTTAAATTGTGGACTATATTAATGTGGGAGCAGTTGAAGGCACTTTAGGACTAGCATTTACTGCTGGCAAGCTGGAAGAATGATCTGAAATAAATCTCTTAACATGTGGAAAGTGCTGCTGCAGATGCAATTAATTATTCAAATAAATATAAGATGAAATTGTTGGCTTGAAGGATATGAGCTGGTGGTCTCTTGCAGATCATAAGTGGAAGATGATTTTTACTAATATGTAAGGGAAGTCATGAAAGTTCAACTGATTTTTAATACTTTTTTAAAAAGTATCCCTTATGAAAACCAGGAAGTCTTTAATCTTCTCTGCTCAGTGTGGTAGAGACCTCCAAGTGGAGCCATGGATCCTCTTCTGGCACAGTGAGTCAAGGTGGAGGTAACCATTTGGAGAGTGTCCAGAGGAGATAAAAATTATTAGCTATCAAAGAAGCATGAGAAGAGAAATTGGTGAGAATTGATATTTCTTCTTGAGAGCTTGTCTCTCTCTCTAGATGAATCAAAGAATATTCTGAGTTGGAAGGGACCCAGGAGGATCATGGAGTCCAACTTGTACATGAATGGCCCATAGGGGGATCAAACCCCCTATGGGGTTATTGGCACTGTGCTCTAACTTGCGATGTTTTGTGAAGAACAGAATAACCTTTCTATGAGGATTAATCAAATTAATTAATCTAGAGAGGGAGACTTAAGAAGGGGGGAAGAATACTATTTGTGAGAATAGTTGAGCTCTGTGGTAATTTGCATATGAAGGCCAGGGCATCCCTAGTGTCAGAAGTTTTAAGAGCAGGTTGGTCCAGTGTCAGGGGTTGGTTGATTCCTCTATCAGATAAATTGATTTATATTCTCAAGGTCCTTTCCAGCACTTTAATTATCTTGAAAATAGCTGTAATAGAAGTGACTTGTGTAGGAGTTAGTATTGATTAGTAAGAGTTGTTGGATTTTTTTTTGAGACAAGTGAAGATTTTTCTTTTACTTCAAAGCACCATTTAATGTATTTGTTGAGTAGGTCCTGAGCAGAAAAGACTTACATGACCTTGATGAGTGAACTACCTCTTCTAAATTTAAATACAAAAATGACACTTCCTAACACATTGTTTATTTTAAATGCATTTGTTTTTATAGATACTTTTGTCTTGCACAGTGACTGGGTTAATATTACCTTGAGTGCCTTTCGTCTCTGTACCGTGGTTTCTATGATCATTCTGGAAAACTGAAGACATAGTAATGTAAAACTGGTATAGAAAGACACTATATATTTTTATGGTAGATTGTCAAAATGCCTTTAAAATCAAAATTGCTTTAAAAATTGCTGCTTCTGGATTTATAATTATTAAGGAGGAGTAATTTTTATTTATATATTTATTAGTGTCTGTTTTAGGGGACCATACCTTCACTTCCTTTGTTTCTTCCCCTGAACTAAAGGGGCTGAACCTGGACTATGCTTTAGCTATTAATATTATATATTACATTAGTTTGTAATGCTTTGTTTGAATTTTTTTTGCCTCCCAAGGTCTCTGTCTTGAGAAGTTGCCAATATCTTCCTCAGCAAGCAATCTCCATGTGGACCGAGAACAAGAAATTGTCACATGCTATGAGAAGGCTGGGGATATTGCTCTCCTCTACCTTCAGGAGATAGAAAGGGTAAGTTGGGGTGGTCTTCTAAATTGAACATTTAAAGATTGATATAAATGCCTTTTTGAAAGAAATTTGTGTGACCCTTTATTTCTAGGAGATATACACTGTTGCTTTTTATTTAGACTTTGAGGTATATTTGGGCAAAATGCAGTACACTTGGGGCTGTGTTCTTTGGCTTGTGAATGCTGTTAGAGTGAAGTGAGCTGGCAGTAGCCCTCTGATCCTCTTTCAGACCCGTTGCTTGCAAGCCTCAGGCCTGTCACTTTACAGCTGTCTTTGAAGGAGTTGGAAGACACATTTAGGGTCATGAAAAACAGAAAAAGGGCAAAGAAAACTGATGCGATGGGGGAAAAAGTGATTCATACTGTTTTTAAAATACATACAGCTTTTTATTTTCTGAGGGGTTTTGCTGTTTTATTATTTTCTTGTAGTGGCTGGTAGACTATGTCACCACCAAAAGCTGATTACATTTTGACAACATTTTTAATGCTGATGTAATACAATTATTTCGAAATGTTTACAATTATTTCTAAATTGCTTTTTGGCAATCACTCTGGAGATAGCTTTTAATCTTTTACTGCTCTCTGCAGCAGTCTTTTCTAACCTAACAGGAGTTCTAAATTTTTGAATACCATCACCTCCTGCTACTGAATAAGGTCGCAAATGTGCTTTTTCATGTTCTTCTATTTTGTATACCATTCTTCACAAAAATTTCTGAAAAAGTAGTATAAAATTTTGCTTAGCAGCATTTCTGCTTGGTAAATTAATTCTCTCTAAGGGTACAGCCAAGAACAAAAGGGTTTATATTTAGGTGGCAATGGAGGTAAAGCTAGAAATGGTCTATTGGCCAGCACCTACAAATGGCAAAGATTTATCCAACATTAAATGTTAGCTTCCATGGAAAAGCACACAAACCTTGATTTTAAGGTTTTTTTTTCTAAATACACTTTCCCCCCGCCATTTCTTGTGTTCTCTTAGGTAATTAATGCCAACATACAGAACAGAAGCCCTAAGCCAGGGCCCACTGCACACGAGCAAGAGCTTGGTTTTTTCCTGGAAACAGGACTTCAGAGAGCACATGTTCTATATTTCAAGAATGGGTGAGATTTGACTCTTCTTTTATTGTGTTTACTTTTTTGTTTAGGTTTTGCATTTGTGATTTAACTGGACATAACTTTTAGCAATTGTGGACTGTGTAATTGTTAGGTTTCTTATTAATAAAGTAGTAACATTTTGATTAAAATAGTGAGGCTGCCCATATTGTATTTATTTACATACTGGAAAATTGTTTAGTCAAAGTATATTAAGCAGAAAGCATTTTATAGTTTTGTTTACTAAATGTAAGAACTTAAATTACCTTAAGCTTTATCTATTTGAAATTTACTACTGAACACTGTTAAAGAGTGATTGTCAACATATTGAAACTGTTGGTATTTATAATTTTGATTTTGTAATTTTTTTCCAAATCTCTTCAGTTATCACTTATTTTAACATTATGCTGCAGGATAAATGTGCATGAAGATCAACAGTATGTATACAAGTATACAATCTTTATTGTACCTGCCCTGTAGATCCCTTTAGATTCTGCGTGGGACTTCCTTTATAATTTATTTTAAATAAGGCTTTGCTTAAAAGCCTAAAAATAAATTCAGTTGCCACACAGAATGAGAAAAAGAATACAACACTTAATTTTTAAGAACTTCAAAACTCGGCACAAATGGGTTTTAAGTACATTTCTGAGATTTGTTGAAAGCATGTAGTTTAAAAACTTGTGTCTGGGGCTTCTTATTTCATTAGAAAAATGTGATTTTATTGAAATACTGGAACTCTTGATGGGACTACTGTTTTGTACCAAAATTGCTTCTTATTCTTTCAAATACATAAACCAGAGATGAAGGAAATACTGCAGTGTCTGTAAAGAGTTCGAGATTTTAATGTACTGAAGGTAGGGTAAAAAAACTAGCTGAGTTTTAAGCTGTCCAGGAATTTCAAAATGGAAACAATCACTACACTTCTGAAATCTCTTTCTTAAAGTATTGAAGTGGTGCATTAACATGATCTGAGACTTGCACTTTAGTTCTGTTTTCATAATTTAATTGCCGGAGGAATGGAATGTTCTGAAAGCTAATTTTTTTTCATTTATCTGAACTAAAAATAAGATTTCTGTTTTCATGTCTGCACAAAAAAATAAATAAAATACAGTTACTGCCAAAATCCCAGTGGCAGTCATGGTTAAGAATAAGCTAAGAATTCCACATTTTGAAGGATTTTGATTGGAGGCCAGGATGGAAATAGTGCATTTAATCTGACATGTTTTGTGTAAAAGCAACCAGCAGTAGACATAGCAGATTGCAATTAATGAAGAAAACAAAAAGCAACTGCACAAAAAGAGTCATGCAGTGGATTGTTAAGGAATATTCAGACAGGAGTGTTTTTCCTAGACTGTATCAGCTGGTCTGGTGTGAGCTTTGAAAAATTTTATTTCATGTGTATTTTAATTCTTCACAGTGAAGTTGTTGGTGAGCTTCTTAACTCCTACACAAGCATATTTTTTTTCTTGCAGTCTTTAGTACAGTGGTCACTTGCAGTTTATAAGCTAATTCCACATTATATATAGAATCTTGAATTTCTTTTTCTAATTTTGTTGGCCAGTGGTACTGCTTTTGTGGTATGATATGAAGCAAGGTGTTAGGAAAAATAGGTCTGTGACAATCATTATTTGACATATTCCTGCTGTTACATCCTTTAGTTTCCTTCCTTAATTCAAAGTCAATCACAGTTCTTTCAATATTTCCTAATATGGTCATTGTTCCAGGCTGCTTGTCATGTGGCTACTTTTAGGGCTTGCTTTTTTATTTTTTTCATTTTTTGTCTTGGGTTTACCAGAACTGAAGAGAACTTCAAATGTATACTTTTTCTAATAGGGATAAATTATAGCTTGCTTTTTAATAAATCTATTTTAAGGATGTCTTGTTTCATTTTTAAATACATCATCCCTCCTGATGTTAGGTTACAGAGAGTAGATTTGAGATCTTTACATGAAGCTTTGCAACATACTTCAAGTTTGAATGTTATCTAAAATCATCTTTATACATGTGTGTCAGTTTCAAAGCAGAAAAGAAAATAAGATAACTTTTATATATGCTGGAAGACCATAATTTCAACAGTAACATAGGGAGTATTGCTGCCTACCTAGAAAGTTGGTTGATTTACTTCAAATTTCCCTTTCATTTGTTAATAGTACAGAGATTTTCTTTTAAGTCTATTAATCGAGATTTTGTAGAGAATTCAGTCATTCTCTTTCAGGTATGCATTATCTTGTATAAAAAAACTAGAAAGTGCTTGAAACTTAACTTAGCCTTTCTGCTAAGTGGTGGTATTTTGAAAATACATGGAAATGCAATTACCTAAAGGAAAAAAAAGAAGAAATTGAAGTGGAAATAGTCTGAACCAGAAAAGTGTTAGTTTAGTGCTAATAAGACACAAAACTGAAATTAATGGTTTCTTCTGAACCGTACAGAATTTTATTAAAGAAACAAACTACATACCCATTTTTCACTTTGGAGATGAAGAACATTTCAGCTTGGAAATGTGTAATAAAGAAGTTGAGGAAGTTGTTCAAAAACTTGGAGTAGGGTTTGTGTGTTTTTTAAAAAATGTTCTGAAATGGAACTTTCCATTCTTTCAGGCTGATTACATAACTTGTGTAGTAGTTGCTTTGTAATTTCATATTGAAGGAGTTCAAAGCCTTGATGTTTTTCCAAGAAAAGCTGTGAGCACAGAACTTTGACATTGGTATTTAACATAGCTATTTTCAAGTACAATGCCCCTGAGAAAGGACAGCTCTTTAGGTACCCAGTGTTTCTTCTATCCTAGTATTTGTGTTGTGAGATTTACAAATTGATTTTGTCTGGTTTATGGTTTTTATTTTTGAGGTAATAATGTTCACAAATATACTGGAAATGTATGTTCTTGAAGCAAACTGGCATTTTGGTTGAAGTCTAAAATCAGGAGGCCATCATGTGAAAATCAAACTTACCTGGATTTCAGAGCCATTTTTTTTGCTTCTGCTTTATTTTACACCTCCTCCATGGATATTGCTCTGGATCCAGACTGCAGTTTGGTCTAGTCTCCATCATGGTTCACATTCTCAGTCAAAACCTGAGCTTCCCAGGGATGATCTGTACTCCTCATGCAGCCATTACCTCTGCTGGCACTGTCACAGTGAAGTAAGACATTCCTAGTCTCCTCCAGCAAGTTGTTTCTTATAGACTGGCTTCTTCTTCATAGAAAATTAGCCCTGAAAAAAACAAATAAAAAAATAAATAATTTTTTCTCATTTTTCATATAATTGAGATAATTGATTTATATTGACTCTAAATGTTTGACAAGCACAACAAAAGCCCTCCTTAGAGTCTAGGACTTAACTATGTAGAATTTCTTTTATCTGTTTTTTTCTTTTCACTATAGCATATAACAGAAATAGCATAAGAACATTACTCTCTTTCTGGTAAAAGAGGAGCAGTGGATAGGAGGCAGTCTATAGGTGCTTCTGTTCCACATGTATATCCATACAGTGCTCACAGATAGGGGTTTTCTGGGGGTGAGGTCCATGAGAGAAAGATTTATGTAAATGCTTGACATAAATGCACATGAAGGTCCTGTAAGATCAACTCTCTGCTGTATTAGAATATAGTGCAAGATACCCATCACTCTGCATCTCTTGAAATCCTTTTGCACATCCTACATCAGTCTCAAAACAAGTTGGTGTTTAAGTAAAGAATAGAAAGTAAGATGAAAACATTGAAATCCCACAAAGTATCACATTTCTTATATGTAAAATATCACTGCTGTGTGTTGGAAAGCAAACAAAATCACTTCTGTTGCAGTTTTCAACACAGCTTTGTTTTCTATATGCCTGCTTTTGTGTTTGTGTGCTTAGGAAGCTAAGGCAGGAATATATTCAAGATAGGAACAAAAATAATTTCTCTGTGATTCTGAGCAAAAATAAGTTTTCAAAGGATACTTTATTGTCTGTCATATCAGATGCTTTCCTCATCCTTGCTTCCAATACTGTTCTCACCTGTTAGTTTTCATTGAAAAAACTATTTGGACATGAGAGGAAATTATTATTCCCTCAGACATTCAAGATAAAATCATCCATTATGAATGCTTTCTGTTTCAAACCTTACTGTATGTTTATTACTCAGAACTGTGTCTTAACTTCAAGAGTTGAAAACAAGATTCCATTGTGAATTTACAGGTGGGAAACCGGGCAGTGTTACATGGAAGACTAAGGTGGATATAAACATGAGGGAATTACTTTTATTCAAAATCTTACCAAGTTTTGTAATAACTAGTTATACAAAGAACAGTGAAAGTAATGTTGGTATCTGAGTTAGGTTCAAGACTGATACTCTTAATAGTTTGTAGTTGGGATTCTGACTCCAGCTCACTTTTTCCAAGAAGATACTTAGCATTTTTTAGCCCATGTGCCACATGTCTTGCTGACGGTGGCTGTTGATTGCACTTGCAAGTACCAGATAAAAGGTTTTGGTTTTATGTTGAATTGTGATGGGTGGCAGACAAAATGGTCTTGGATCTTCAGAAAGGGAGTTAATATTTCATACACTTCCCCTGCTCCCCTCAAAATGCTCATTTTACTGCCCTACTTAATGTTCTTGTATTTCCACTGTGCAGAGAAGTTGCTATTGTCATTTTCCACAGATCCACCCTCCTCCCACCCTCCTAGTGTGCATTTTCCTTGTTTGCCTTTTGCTGGTTCAGATGCTTGTTTGATTCTTCTGTGGAGTTTTGTTGTCAAAGAAATCACAGCTTTCTGTCATTCTGGTGGGAAGAATTGATTCACTGGAAGGTTGATAATGGCTGGTGTGGCTGTCAGAAAAGAGATGGGACCATGCAGTTGACAGTAGGAAAATACCAAGAAAGAAGAATGGTGGGAAAAGGGAACAAACACTAAGAGATGAGAATGGGGAGGATGAGATCTTCCTCTTCAGGTCGTGAGCCATTAGATGGACTAACTACCAGTGGAACTGCAGTCTAGGCAGCAAGTGTTTTCATTTTGAATGCATGAATGCCA